TTCGGTTTTAACAAATTGTAGGCCCTTAGGCCGACGTAAAAGGGCCCTTTCCAATATATTTTTGCAGTAAAAATTTTTTTGCTTCTTTGGCGACCCTTGATTACCGCGAACAACTAGTTTCAAAGGCTACCGACGACATTTTGTTCTGGCAGTTTTGAAACTAGTCTGTAAAATAACACTGTTTCTAGTAACTAAATAGGTTCCCTTAAGTGCACAAATAAATACTTGCATGTAATTTCAACCTTTTCTTGCAATTCGGTTGCACTAAAGATCGCCTAAAATGATGATATTCACCTTTTTTTTCCTAGTAAAAGGGCAAAATTATCAGGCATAAATTTCACTTGTATTGATAGCAATTCGATTGAAGTTCATTATAAAAAAATGTTTATTGTATAATATATCTTGCGGTGGGGGTCTCGAGGAAAAAATCGCCAATCTTGAAAACAGCGCAAAAAAGCACCATTCACTTAAGAATAACGGTATGAGGTGCTCGGTCTAAAAATATATTGACAAAGGCAGTAATACGTAATTTAGAGGCCAGACACCAAATAGGCAGTGTTAGAAAAAAGTGTTATTTCTTAAACGCGAAAAATTAATTTTTTAAGTTCGAGACAACCCAGCTCGTCGGCCCCCAGGCGGGCACTCAAGATAATGATGGGTAGGGAGTCTTCGGAATACTTGCTTTATCTAATCTTCTCACACACAGTCGATCTGAGGATGTGACGCCGTCGTGACGTTTCCTGTCCTTGAAAAAGAAGTAAAGCCGACGATCATTTCGGTCAGTGAGTTTGGCTCGAAGTAATGGAGTCCTCTAGTCCCGCAGATGGGTAGAGCGACAGTGAACCGGGATAATAACACCTCTCGCCGCACCTGAACATCACTTTCCGGCACCCAGATCGCTCGAATTTGTGTCAAGTTGTGGCGTGCCCAGTTGAAGAGATTTAGTGGTGTTAAAAGTTGTCCGCTGAATGGTCTTTGTAGGCTTGACTTCGCATTTCACTCTTCTTCCATCCTTCATATGCTTCCTTCAGGTTAATTAAAAGCAACCGTTTTTGGCTTTCACGAACGACGTCTTTTTTGCCTGGAAGGCAGATGGAACCAAGCTCGTCTTCATAAAAGTTTCTGACAGAGCTTTTAATTGGTTCGTCTAGTGGTCTGTTCAACCTCTGCGTTGAGCAACTCAACATGCCACTCTCTTGTTTTATTGACATGGCAAGGCGAACCTGTCTTTCAGAGGAACCAAAATACTGCGCGATTCGTTTTCGCGACCACGAGCTCGGGGCCAGGGTCAAAAGCGAAATCTTTTTGATCAGTATTTTTCCTCGTCAAAGCGCTTCTTGACGTCTTCCATGAGCCGTCTGTAGTCGTGTGTCAGGAACTCATAACTAGGTGTTGGTCTAGATGTCGACGAGACGTTGACGTCTGCAGTGTTGGTCAGGTTACTGACATTCCGGCTTCGACTGTCTAGCGTCGTTTGCATATCCGTATTTGTTTTTCCGTACTCCTGCCCCATGGACAGAGGAATTTCTCCAACTGCTGAAAATTTGAGACTCAACGATGAAGGGAATGCTTCTTCCTGGTCGCTAATTTTAGAAGAGGTCATCTTTTCAGTAAGCGTGTCAGTAGTCTGCTTGAACCTTGCCTCCATTTGGAGGCAGCGAACTTTGCACCCGGGGGACAACCTTTGTCCAGAAACAAGCTTCAATGACGGCAGAGCTATCGCAAGCTCTAGTGATATAACTGATGTCCGACGCCGGCTCCTGGTGTGTTCAAAGAACGGGTCCATACAGAACTTGGAAGCCAGAAGTGTGGTATACTTCGTTACGTAAGTATGATATTGATGAGCGCATATTGTGTAGAGGGCGTCTTCGTCCTTGTTTGATCGCAGAGCCAAGAGGCGTTGTTCTCTTTCCGTCACAGTTGAAATTTTAACGAGAAACTTCCTTTTGACTTGCGTCGTTTTACTGCACTCTTTTGGGCACCAAAGAACACGGCACAATATGGTCTCCTGAAAAAAGGTTTATTGTTTGCTCAGTGCGCTCAAAGAACCGAATTTCACCTGCTTTCTGGAATTACTGTAACAAGTATGAGGCTAAAACCTCGCTTTTAGAAGGTTTAAAAGCAATAACTAGTAAAAAAGATTGCCTAAAAGCTACCTTGAGATTCCCTGGCATGCTCCGTGGGAGCCAGGTTACCTGCGTTATTGGGTTCTATGGGAAAAAGTTTGTTCAGTTTCCACCGATCACATGTTAACTCACGCCGCTGTGCGATTAGCAGACGATGTCACAACCACTTTTTAGATTCTGCCGTCTGCTTTTCACGCCTATTTAGAGAACCCGGCTGCTTTGCTCACTTGCGTAGCGAACCCGTCTGCTCTGCGTGCTTGCGTAGCGAACCCGTCTGCTTTGCGCGCTCGCGTAGCGAACCCGTCTGCTCTGTTGTCCCGCGGCGTCGCCGCTGCAGTACGCCGCTGTTCGACGTCTCTAGCCAAGTACGCTAGGGTGCGGCGACCGAAATTGAAAGATTATGTTTTCGCGTTTAAGAAATAACACTTTTTTTCGAACATTGCCTATTAGATGTTTGAGTTCCAAATTACGTATTGCCGTTGACAATATATTTTTAGACTGACCACCTCACACCGTTAGTCTTAAGTGAAAGTTGCTCTTTCTGCGCTATTTTCAATATTGGCAATTTGTTCCAAGAAACACCTCTACAAATAATATGCAAAAAGATATTTTATATTAAACTTCAATCTAAGTGCCATCAGTACAAGTGGAATTTATGCCTGATGATTTTGCCTTTTTACAAGGAAAAAAAGGTGAATGTCGGCATTTTTGGCGATTTTTAGTGCCACAGAATTACAAGAAAAGATTGAAATTAAATGCATGTAACTATTTGGGCATTTAAAGGGGCCAATTTAGTTACTAAAAACAGTGTTATTTTACAACCTACTTTCAAAACTGCCACGAAAAAATATGCCGTATATAGCCCTTGAAGTCAGTTGTTCGTGGTAATCAAGGGGTCGCCAAAGGAGCAAAAAAATGTTTACTGCAAAAATATATTGGGAAGGCCACTTTTACGTCGATTCAAGCGCCTACAATTTTTTAAAACTAAATCCGTGATGGTCGATTTAGCGGCTGGATCGTTTGGCGTGGAATGACCCTATATGCATATCTGTGGCCGCGAATCTTTGTTTCACCAGTGGCCGGTAGAGACGGATAAACATTTATCGTTTTTCCCCTTCTACTACGCATGGTAGTTCATCGGAGCAGGTGGGGTGCAGTGAAAAGGGGGTTCAGCAGTTGAACCTCTAGCGCTAGGTTAAGAACACTAATCCACACACACTAATAATCATGAATGTATGCTTCTGAAAAAGCTCTCGGCTGACGCATCAGAACGCTTTGTCAACTAGAAACTAGTCTTCATCGTACGTTCGACGCCAAGATTTATTTGCGGGCCGAATTCGTTCGTGCACAACGTGATCAAAACCAATGTATTTAGGAGTTTTTTGGTCTTTTGTATTCTGGTTGAAACTGTTTGCTACAAATAATTTTTTTTCCTGTTATTTTGTCGTTTTCTTCTCTACCGTGTCTACATGCGGGGATATTTGTGTCCGAGTTTCCTTGGGTGTAAAAGTATTCGTCAGCAGTCGCAAGGTTTTCGAGAGTGGATCATTCAAACGTGTATAGTAACAAGAGTCATGTTGAGGGAATCACTAAAATGAGAATCTCCTTCAAAAAAAATTGGGAAGCGAACACAAGCGGGTCCCATCGTTATCCATATGCTCTACAAAAGTTTCTAGTTTTATTGTTTCACCTAATATATTTAACCGGCATATTTGCATTTCCGTAGGCTCTAAATATATGCCCGCGCTTAAAATGCACGTGTTGTATGTTCCAAGCACGAATATATGTAGATCACTAGTATTATTCTATAAGCAGAGCCATAACCTGAATAAAAATATAATTGGAGAGGGTAACAATGACGTCTCGAGTATACTCGAGATAGGCCACTTTAACAGAACATTATTGCAAGGAGGAGTAACCAATTTATTTTGATATCGTATTTTTATGCTGATAACTCAATCTACGAGCACTAAGCTTCCCAAAATATCCGAAATTACCTATGGGTTTTTAATTTTTCTATTAAAAATATAATCATAGATCGTTACATACCTCTTTTTCTTCGCCTTGGAGCACACACCGGAAACGCCGTCGATGGGCGTTTTTAAACAATAATTCCTCTATTCCGTCTGCTATACCCAAACATTTGACGATCTATTTCAAATACAACGCACAAAGCGCCTAATACGAGCAGTCATATTAACATGTGAAATTTCCCCGCAGCTAAATATTTTAGTTGGTGAAAGCTTATGAAGGTGGTCTAGACCAATAAACAATACGCCATCAAAAACAACCCTATAGGAACTTAAAGGGGCGCCCCTTAAGTTCGCCAGAAGTATGTTAGAAGTATGGCGTTTTGGGCTAAATGTGGTCTCGTGTTCAATCAGTGAACCACTGCTTGTGCCTGAGTTTCAACTGAACGCAATCGCATTACTCGTGTCGAATCAGTGCCCCTTCCTCACTGAAGAATATTATGTAAAATATTGAGCTCACAGACCTTCTTTTGGGTAAACATCGAGCTCTTTGAAAAACGAGCTGGACGAAGCGGCTCCCTATCATTTAATCGCATCTCTAGTTTCCGCACTTGATTTCGTTTTGCATTTTGAAGTTTCCAAGCTATTTTTCGTACTGCCCTGACCACGCTTCTCACCCATACACTCTAACAATATCTCCAAGAAAACTTGCAGACTTACTCCACGTTGTCCAGACATGTACTGACGAATCGTGTAAATAGCTTTCAAGTGCCGAGTTTATATAGCATCTGTAAAACGTGTGCGAAATTATGCATTTAAAGTGACACTTGGCAGTTTGTAGTTTACATCAATGCTATACTCAAGATAAAATGACTCAAAAATCATGACAACCTATTTTTCGCAGGAATCTTGGGACGGCTACCTGAAGTTATTTGGTGAACTACCTCCGTACGAATATCAGGTTGGTTTATGGCTACTTGCTTTCACATTGTAATGACCATCGAAATCTTTCCAACATTGCTATTTTAATACAACTCTCCCTTCAAGACGGTGTCAATCAAGCGAACAGTTTTGATGTGACTTCGTAAAGGAGGAGTAGGGTTGCCAAAATTTGGCGTCGCCTTCGAAGTAAAGCTCTAAAAAAAATTCGGTTACTCGTAATGGGTTACTTTTTGGTCTTACACAGTAACATATTTGATGGTATCCTAAATTGCGCACACGTAAGGTGTTTATTTTACTCTAAAGCATTCGTCGCTAGGTCAGCTTTTGCCGTGATTTCTGATTAAAATTATTCGAATGTTTTTTTGTTTTTTTTTGTATTTTCACATTTCAGACAAATATTTGTATGCATATTTTGCAGAGAAGAAAACTCGCAAACGCGCTATTTACATCAATCTTTGCCAATTATATTTGAGTGAGTTCTAAAATATCCACGCTTGAAGCCACCAAGTTATATATTTACCACTGCGCGTAACCCAGTTATGATCAGTGCAAGTTTGTGTCAAATATTCTAATAAAAAGAGCCATGATCTCTCGAAAGAGACATGCTGTTCTACCACAGTTAATAGTTCTTGACTTAAGAACGCACTTTGGTTGGCGAGACTGTGAGCAATGTATCTGTGGGATATTATAATTGTCGTTTTATTTTGGCAAAGAAAACCACATCTCGCGCATAGAGTGGAATGTTTACCCAGACCCTTTGTGTTTCATGCGCATGCCTCATCTTGGAAATCAAAACCCAGTTTCTAACTGCGACGACGTAACCCAGATGGATGTGCTGGTTTCCAAACTCGGAGCGGCTCCTGACCTATCTTCGGATCGCTTGACGGACATTCGCTCTTTGTGCGCAATGGTGTGGAATATGCTTTTCTTAGGTCTGGGAGTAATTGCCCCTCTGGTTGACTTCGCTTCGGGAGAACCGAATACCAAATATCAAATACTCAGACCACCAGCGACGTCAGTACCTACTGGAAAGGGTTCTGCTGTGATCGCGCCACACTCAGGAAATCGACAACGGCATGAACCCTTCTGAAGCGGCTCTTGCGACAACGATGCAATGAACGTCGGTTGACGGGAGCACTAATGTGAATTGTAAGCATGCTGAAAAAGACAGTGTCATGGGCACAGCGAACTTGCTTAAACGCTTGTTTGACACGTATGTGCTCACGAAATTTACCTTACAAGTTCTTTCCTTTGAGAGAAGGAAAAGCAACCCTCTATCAGATGCAGTGTGCTAGACCGTCGTGTGCTTCCTACTGTTGTAAATAGTTATCGAAAACTACGTTTTTTTTAGAAACACAGGTATCCTTTCCCGGTGGAAACCCCTGCCTTGATCCTGTCATCAGCAAAGAGGCCGCTTCATCAGTTCCCAGCAGAAAAAAAAAGCCAAGTCGCAGCAAGCACAAATTACGTGCATTATTATTTCTGAGCAATCACTAAGAATTTTTGTGTCAGTGTTTTGGTTCATAAGCAACTAAGCTACCCTTGCTTGTTGCGCAAGTCAGTGATTTGTGGAGCCTCGGCTCCACGGGAGAAGAACTTCTCTAAATGCTGCAATCATAGTGCCGATGATCAAGCGGTTCTCGAACGAAGAACTTCTCAAATGTTTACGTAGTCGTCAAGAGGTGCTGCGATATTGACGTGCAGAAGAGATCGTTGAACGGCGTGGGGTTGATTTTTTCGTAAAGCTCCACAGGCTAGAAGCAACAAGAAGGCCAGCGAAACGGAAGAAGTACGAAACTTCGGCTGCAACGCAATCGAGACACCAAGCATGCGAAGACGTCTCGCGAAACGGGCTAAAAGAGGCAACCGAACAACCGCTGAAGCCTGGATAACGGTTGAGCTATTTTCTGATAGAAAGCGTGGCAGGTCCTGTAAACCACGTGCTTGCCCAGAATATTTTATATCGTCCGCAATGTACGTGCTGGCAAACAAAAGAAGCATTTCTACAACCAGTTCGGCGTGGGTGATACTTGTGCGACCACCGAATAAGCATAAGCGGAACCAGTAAACTAAATTGCCGAAAAAAAAAAGTCAAAATAGTCACAGAAGAATCCTCAACGCATATCATGAACGTCAACAAAAATATTCATAGAATTTACACAGCCGTCTTTAAACAGTTTAATAAAGACACGTTTAGGCAGTACATGAAAGTGTGAAATGCAGTCGGATATAAAAAACCGCCTTCACGGCGATTTTGGCAAAAAAACGTTTTACAACCGTGCAACCTCTAGATTAGACAAGTCTCGAAGAAAAACTCACCTGAGCTAGCCTCACAGCAGTAAAACTCATTTACTTTGTGAATCTTCCGGAGAAAGGCTCACCCGTCGTTTCGACGAAGCCGTAGAAAAGCTCAGTTTAAATTAGATTTTACGCAAGTGTTAAAAATAAAATATACGACGCTTTCATTTTCGCTTGTTGGTGTATTTTGAGTGTTACATTTGTGAATGTGTCAACTAAAATGTTCATGTATTTTTTGGCGTTTTATGACATTGTATGACGCTTGAGGGAGCCTTCTTTAACACTGAAAAAGCAGTGAGTGCAGAGACGAGCTGGTGGAAGTTGATCATGATGTAGACCAGTGGTTCTCAACCAACGATATTTCGCGGACCCCCCGTGAATCGGCGGAGATGATGGTGGACACCGTTCGTGGTGAGAGGAGAGGAAAGGTATAGGTTATATATAATAATGATTGAATAAATGTACATAGCTAAGGGATAACGTGAAGTACACCTCTCTTGTTGACGTACACATGAGGAAACTCGCTCGAGAACTGAAACATTTCTTCTCGATCTGAAAAAAATAGTTTTATTGCCGGGCATGACTGATAAGGCAGTGCTTCGCGGACTCCTAGAATGCCTTTGCGGAACCCAAAGGGTCCACGGACCCCCATGTGTGAACCACTGATGTAAACTAACTGAGACTGGGGTAAAAGCTGAGAAACTTGGTCGAAGAAAAAATACAGGACAAAAGAACGTCTCAAACTCAGCTTCTGCGTTTATTTCCTTAAAGCAATATATATTGTACGAATGACAATTGATGAGGTGATACTAACTGAAGAAACTTACACTTTATTGGAGCGAGCTCGTGCCCAAAAATAAAAAAAGGAACACAAGAAAGCACAGCTTTGTGGGCATCGAAGTGGGCGTGACAGCAGGGTCGAACGCTGGGGCGAAACTGGCTGAGGCTCGCCACGCGGAGCCCCTTATGTACACGCCTTGGCTTTTGGAACAATCGACCTAAAAGGTTCGGTGACTAGAACATTCGTATCTTGAACAAGTAACAGAGTTCTCGGATGTACCAGAACATTAAATTGCAAGGATAAATAAAAGACGGGTCGCCCCCAGGAATCGAACCCTGGCGCTTCGCGTGGGGAGCAACCACGATAACCCTTAGGCCACGGCCATGCTGCCTACTTGGCCAGCTGCGCACGGCCTTCTTGTCTGAATGCGCTGGAAAAGCCGCAAAGGCAATTCCAGCGACTTCAGGATCTGGGTCTGGATCTGGGTCTGGGGATCGGGGTCTGGGCGGATTCCGTCGTTTCAAACCACTTGCCTAGGAACTTCAGATCGGCATAGTCGAACCGGCGCTTGGAAAACTTAAGGGTGAGTGAGTCCAGTGGTCTGTATGACTTGGAGAACAGCTCGGAGTTATCGCAAGTGCTCGTAGAAGTCAGTTTAAAATACTAAGACGTCGTCAAGGTAGACCAGACAGCTCTGCCACATCAGCCCTGTCACTACGGTGTCCATGACTCGCTGGAAAGTTGCTGGCGCCGTGTAGTCCGAAGGGCATCACCTTGAACTCGCACAGTCCATCCGGCGTGACAAAGGCTGTCTTCTCCAGGTCCCGCTCGTCGACTTCAATCTGCCAGTAGCCACTCTTCAGGTCCATTGATGAGAAATATCGATAGTGGAGCAGCCGGTCTAGAGTGTCGTCAATGTGGGCGAGGGGGTACACGTCTTTCTTCGTCACCGCGTTCAGCTGCCGGTAGTCCACGCAGAACCTAAGCGTTCCGTCCTTCTTGTCTAGCACCACTGGAGAGGCCCATGGTCTACTTGAAGGTTGCATTATTTCGTCTTTCAGCATCTCTTGAACTTGCTCCTGGATCACCTCCCTTTCTTTAACGGACACTCTGTACGGCGACAGATGCACAGGGCGCGTGTCGTCCTCGGTAACGATGCGGTGCTTCGCAACGGCGGTCTGGCGCACCTTCGACGACGTCGCAAAGCAGTTGCGGTATTCGGCGAGGTGGTTAATCGGCTGCCGTCCTTTTGGGCCCGGAAGCTTAGGGTCAATGTCGAGCTGCGCTGGCGACGTACTGTCTTGCTGAGGCGGCGACGATTCGTCAGTAATCGCAGCGATTTCAGCGGGGTCTCGGAGTTCCTCGACGTGGCCCACGGCTGCACCGCACCTCTCATGAGGTGTAACGTTGCATTTCGGAAGTTCGTCACAAGGGCCACAGTCCGCCCATACTGAAGTTCAGCTACTCCTCCTGCGAGGCCTATTCCTCTTCCCAGGAGCAATTGGTGGCCTCCCTCAAGAGTGACTTCGCCTCAGGAAGATTCATTGATACCGACGAGTATGAAAACACTGGACCACGGTGGTAAGTTTTCGTGGTTTGCAAGGACTCGGACCGCGGATGACGTCGCTCTGGGTTCCTCCGGTGGTGGAGCAGGTTTTCGTAACGTCAGTCGGTTTGTTCCGAGGTCGATGACGGCGCCTTACTCACAAAGAAAGTCCGCCCCGAGGATAACGCCCTTCGCACAGTCTTGCAGAATGACGAACTTGACAGGGCAAGTCTCACCGTGGATTTCGACGCGAGTAGTGCATCTCCCGACTGGCATGATGAGGTGCCCACGGCGGTTCGTATTTGAAGGCTTCCCTTGTCGTTGTCACTTTTCGCAGAAAGCCTCGTACTTAAGACTGAGTAGCCTGCTCCGGTGTCCACGTGTGCCGATGCGT